CACACACACACACACACACACACACACACACACACACACACACACACACCCCAGCTGCTCCAGAGAGATAGGACTTGGCCGCCAGGGCTCAGCAGATGCTTCGGAATGCAGGGTGAAATTCTGTCTCTTTCCAGGAAAACAAAATTAAACTCTTCACAGGCTCTTCTATAAGTTATGTAAATTTAGCAAGAGAGAATCTATTTTCTGTATTCAGCCTTGAGAGCGCAGCCTCCCCAGCCTGTGAGGGAAGCTGTGGGGGCCGCAGGCAGTGAGCTAGCCTGGCTGGGAGGTTTCCAGTGGGCTGGCCATCCCCGTGCTGCTATCAGGAACTGGCTGCCACCTCCCAGAGGTCAGTCCCTGGGCGACGTGGCTTCTCACTAGAGGGAGCTCTTCACGGCCTCAGTGAGCAGTGAGCAGGCCCTGTGTGGGGGCCGCACAGGGAGGGTAGGAGCCCTGTGTGGAGGACCCTGAGACCTTCGGAGCCGCTGGAGAGGGGAAAGCTTGGCTCCCCTCCTTTGCTTAGGAGACACATCTCTTTTGCGATAGGGTTCTGCTGCTTCAATACCAAAGAACCGTTTCCGTCGACCCAGGCCTGGCCTACCCCACGCTTCAGAGTAGTCTCTGCCCTCCTCTGCCAGCCTTGCTCCCCATTTCCAGGGCCCTGTAGGCTCAGCACTTGGGGCAGCCCTGACAGTAAGCGTGCAGAGCCGCGGGCCTGGCCTTTCCCTGTGGTCCCTCCCTCTCCTGGCCCAAGAGTTGGGGGCTGAAAAATAGAGGTAAGGAGCCATGCATGGGGTAGAGTGAGAGTCTCATCCCAGTGCCTAGCTCAGGCAGCCCTCTGAGCCAATTCTCACCCCAGGGCAGCTCGCTTAGTTCTACTGAGAAGACTATTTAGCTTCCTGTTTCCAGTCTAGGGCGTGGGGCTTATGGGGCAACCCCCTCCTGCAAGGCCACCTGTGCCTGGCCACTGAGGACACCCAGAGGTGCTACACTTGGTTTCCTACCCTCCACAAAGACCCCGTGCCCTGGCCCCCAACACATCCTTGGGAGCACACCCTGGCATGAGTCCCCCTGTCCTCAAGTGCTGCCCACCCCCCACCCCCCCCCCCCACACACACACCTGGCAGATACAGAGGATGACATTCAGGTAGCCGTGTGCTAGGTCTTGTGTGTAGAGGGGATGGTCCCATGTCCCTGGATCTCCGCATCTCTCAAGGATGGACACCCTCTGTGTAGGGTTTCTGGATTTCTAAGTGACCATGTTGGGGAGAAGTCAGGGTAGGGGCAGGCTTGCCTGGTCTGCCTGTAATTTAGGTTTGTGTGTGAGAGATTTGAGTTGGCAGAGGAGCAGCGCCCGAAGGCTCTCTTGGGTGGGGTAGGGTGGGAGGCAACATCTCTATGCAGGTCAGGTATGTGGCTGCCAGAGGGGACCAGGCCGGGGGCCACAGGAGGGAGAAACCAAGGCCAGCTGGGCCTTCTGCACCCTGTCCCCACAGTCCTAGGCCTAGCAGCTCTTAGATGGGGGTGGTAGATGGGCTGGGCTCTGTAGCACCAGGGCTCCCGGGTTGCCGGGGACATACAGCCCACTATTTCTGGCAGCCCAAGGGCATGTCTGGGGGGTGCCCAAGAGGAGTAGTAATACATCCCAGCATCGCCTTCCCCAACACAGCCCCCACTCTGACGGTCACCTCAGCAGCTGAGCCTTACATCCTGGTGGAGGCAGGTACCTTGGGAGATTGTAGTGTGTCGTGGCCACTCTTGGAAGCTGATGCCACAAACCTACTTGTGGCATCTCACCGGGGTCATCGATTTACTGGGGATTTCCCAACCTCCTTGTTAGGAGAGCACACCAGTGGTCTGTCTCCAGGACCCCTTGGCATTTGGCATCCTGAGCTAGAGAGAGTGGGGGTGCAACCTTGGCAGATGTGGAGGAGGCCTGGGGGCACACAGCAGGCTGCCCCCTCCGCCATCACCACTCCCCTATGTGCACTACATCCCTCAGTTCACCCAAGTGAGACATTTGCAAAAATAATAAAAATAATTTTTTAAAGAGGAAAGCGAGAGGTGTTTTTATCATTGTGGGAAATGACTTACGTGTCAGTATTGTGGTCTGCGTTCTCTTTGGATACTTTCTGTATGTAACTCTATAGTTTCAAAAAAATTCCAAACCATGTTTTGTCTGTGTTTCCTTGTGTGAAAAGCCAGCCTCATGGATGCATTTCCCTGGGTGAAGCCAGCATCCTGGGCAGGACTCAGCTGCTGCCCCTGCCGGCCCCCACTCCTTGGACCCTGCTCAGTACTGCCCCACATACACATCTTGTCTGACCAGTGGGAAAGCTGAGGCATAGAGAAGTGGGGTCCTCTCTGGGCTGTCTTGTGAATGCTGACATTGGAAGGGGAGCCCCAACACAGTCTCTGCCCTTGGCCTATTGAGCTGAGCCAGTCTCTACCCCCGTTGGCCTCGCTCTCTCACCCCTACCACATCTCCACTTACCCCTCACTGTGCTCCTCACACTCCAGCAGCCTGCCCTCCAAGCAGCTCTTTTGGTTTCAGGGCCTCCCTGTTGTGCTCCCCACCCACCAGACCCAACTAGGGACCTGCAGAGCCCTTCACCCTTCCAAGAGAAGAGGGTTCCCTGGATCCAACTTCCCATCTCCTGCAGTTCCTCAGACTTGCCCTTGCCCCCACTCCTTGCAGCCTCATCACCGGTCCTGGGCAGTCTTCCCTAGACCCACAGACCCATCTACCCCCTCTCTCACTTCCTCCACTGTGGGCCTCATGGTTCATCCACTGGCTGAGAGTTTTACCCTATTGGGTCTGTTTTGACTTCCACAGAGAATAAATGCAGCCACCTCACACTCTTTCCGGGCCTCCCCTGGGGTCTTTGGACACCAGTCTCATCACCCTGCATCCGGGGCTGGATGTGCTGTGTAGTGGGGACTGAAACCTCAAAGCAGTGGATACAGGACAGGCATTTAGAGGTCTGAGGCCTGGGTGCACCAAGCCCTCAAGAGTTCGTTGTGTGCGCACTGAGGAAGAAGTACTTTGTTCACTTTGGAAGACACATCCATCCCCCCTCTTCCCCCAAAACACGGGGGGTTGTGTCCTTGAACGCGACGGCTCTGGGGTTGCATTCGTGGCTGTTCCGCGGGCTCTGTGAAAAGGGGCGTATTTGATTACATGCACATATCCAAGTACTCAAGGGTATTAGATCATAGATCCCTTCATTTCCTTTTAAATGAAGGCAGTGTGTCTCCCAAGTAAAGTCGCTCACGCAGATAGGCTTTGCGCGTGTGTGAGTGGTTAGCGGCAGCACGAGCGCAGGAGACCGCACCCCAAGGGCGGCTGCGGGGCCGGGATCAGGGGTGAGGATGGGGCTCAGCTTCCACGCGACCCCAAGAGCCTACGGAGGTGCCGTTCCTCCCGCCGCCCTCTCACTGTCCTTCCTGACCGGACGTCAGCCGGACTACAGCTCCCACGATGCCTCGGGCGGCTGGACTACATTTCCCGGGATGCACCCCGCCTGGCGGGGGCGGAGCCGCGGCGGCGGCTGCAAGGAACGCGGGAAGTCCGGATCCCCGCGCGCGGCTGATCGAGGATGAATGTGGAGCGCGAGCTTCGTCGTGAGTCTCCGGGCGGAATGCTGGGCGAGGAGAGGGTCTGGCCCACTCAGGCGAAGAAGCTTAGCGTCCCTGTCTCGTCTCCCTCTCTCTGCAGAGCTGAGCAAGGCCAAGGCCAAGGCCCAGAGAAGCGGGCAGCTGCGGGACGAGGCCGCCCTCTCCCACCAGCTGGGGGAGCTCCTGGCCAGCCATGGTACGTGCCCCGGGCCTGGCCCATCTTGTGGTCCAGGGCCGGGAGAACTGTAGGGCTGGAGGTCGGAGCCCTGGGGGGCAGGAAGGGATGGGGGACCGGGTGAGCCAGCGGGGACGGGGCGTGGGGGGAGGGGAGGCCGAGGGCCGGGGCCAGGAACCTTGCTGAGCCGGCCGCCCAGGGTCGGCCACGGCTGCGCTCGCCCTCGCTCGCCCTCGCTCGCCCTCGCAGCCTCTGGCCGACTGCCCAGCCAGGGCTGAAGCCTGCCGCGCCTGCCTGCCCAGGCCGCTACACAGAGGCCCTGCGAGAGCACCAGCATGAGCTACAGCTCCTGGAGAGCATCGATGACCCTCTGGGCTGTGCCGTGGCCCACCGCAAGATCGGAGAGCGACTGGCTGAGCTGGAGGATTACTCAGCTGCCCTGAAGGTGGGCAGAGCCCACTCCCACCCCCAGCGCCCACTCCCACCCCCAGCACCCATGCTGACCACACCTGGCCCTGCAGAGCCCACACTTCAAGCTGGTCCCTTTCTGAGGAGAGAAGCACAGTTTTCACTGTCTTCGCCTCTGGCTAGAGGGGGACACGCTTGGACGTGGCCTCTTCAGGCAGCCCTGTGTCAGGGAATTGTAGTCTGGTCTTTGGGTAGGCACATCATAGCCTGGGAGTCTGGCCCCACAAACCATTAACGAACATAACACTTGAGCTGTGTTTGTGGGCCAGCTGGGGAGTTGGCACAACTGTCCACAAAGGGCCTGCTCGGGTCCTGGCGAGTGGGGCTGCAACAGCCCAGCTAACTCCCAGTCAGCGTCTCCTCCATATGATGATGATGGCTGGTTGGAGTGTGGCACCGC